GCCCACAGGAGGAGTGGAAGGAAGTAAAGGCACATGAAGGCTGAATCTAGAACTTAGATTTTTGACCGAACCCTAACCTCTTTTCTGTCTTCAGGGCTAACTTTGCTCCAGAGGCTTAGGCCATCCACACATCAGTGAAATCAGCTGGTCAATCCAGTGGCCGTGTGTTCCAGCTGATAAAGTCGATACATATACCTTGAGTCATTCTCATTTTTCCATTGCTTGGTAATTATAGAATAAGTACAATTTGCTTGACTAATAATAGGTCAATGCCGTTGGAATGAGTACGTTTAATGTGTAGGCGGGAATGGGTTTTTCCCTGACAGTAAGCTTTCCTTGTTATACCACTTGCTGGTACAACTCTCTCCTGATTTAAGGGACTCACTCATTCACTTAAGCATTTTTCAAGCTGGGCCCTGTACTAGGTGTTTGTACTAGGTACAAAGATGCATGAGGTTCTCAGGACATCAAAGTCTGTGGACATAATTTCAGACTTAGAGAAAAATTGTAAGACTAGTACAAAGAATACCCAGATGTCCTAAATGTTAATGCTACCATAATTGTTTTCTTTCTCTCTCTGTAGACATATATGCATATATATGTCTGTTCATACATACCTACACACTTTCATGAATCATTTAAGAGTAAGTTGCATATATTGACTTCTAAATATTGGTATTTTCTAAAATGAAGTATTTTCTCTTTTATAACCACAGTACAATAGTCAAAATCAGGAAATGAATAGCGATACAGTACACATTATCTAATCATAGATCTTATTTGATTTTGTCAACCGTCCTAATAATATTTCTTATGGCTAAAGAAATCTTGAATCATGTGTTACATTCAGTGGTCATGTCTCTTTAGTCTCCCTTAATCAGAAACAGTTCTTTGTGACACTGACTTCTTTGAGGAGTAGAGGCCAGTTATTTTGTAAAATGTCCCTCAATTTGGGTTTGTCTGTGTTTCTTCATGATTAAGTTTAGATATGAGCTTTTGGTTGTTATACCACAAAGTTTTGCTCATTTCAGTGCATGATATCAGGAGGCACATGATGTCAGTTTGTCTCAATACCAGTAATATAAACTTTGATCATTTGGTTAAAGTGGTGTGTGCCAGGTTTCTGTATTATTTTTCTCTTTATAATTAGTGTCTTGTGAAGAGATACTTTGAGACTACGCACACGTCTTATCATTCTTCAAACTTTTACCCACTAACTTCAGCAACCATTGATGATGCTTGCCTGAATCAATTATTATGGTGGCTGCCAAATGGTGATGTTCTACTTCCCTAATTCCTTCTACATTTGTTAGTTGGCTTTACACTGTAAGGAAAAGCTTTCCCTTCTCCCCTGTTTGTTTGCTTAGTATTTATCCCAGGTCCAAGTCAAGAATGAGCACTATCTCCACTACTGTGTAACTTTAAACTTGAAGTATTAGCTAGTGCAGTTAGACAAATGATGTCAAACCCCTTTGCCTCCCAAATGCACCTATCCCTGAAATATATGCTTCCCCAAAGCCCTATGTAGGATCAACATCCTGCTCTGCTTAGAGAGGTTGTACCTACCAGCATACTTCTCCATTACTAGAGTAACAATAAATCCAGTTTTGTGGGTTTTTTTTAGTTAAGATATTGGATGGTTGTCTCATCATCTTTTAACAAATCAAACACCAAATCTAACTAAATGGATCATTCCGTTTGCTATGTGGGCAACATATATAGAAATGCAACAGAGGAAGAAGAGGACCCAGTGGAGGCTGTTGAAAATCTTGTGTGGGAAGTAGACCTATGAAGTTATCCAAAAAAAAAAAAGGATACATTTGACACTAAAATACTATATAAAAGTATACCATAAACATAGTCAAAAGAAGTATTGTCAACTCATACCACTGACAAAGAGCCAATTTCATCAATAAGAGAAAGCTAGTAAGTGATTTGAAAAAATGAACAAAAGCTATAAAGAGAATTCCTAGAAAATATAAGTTGCCATTAATCATATAAAAAGAAGTTCAAATTGAGATCACACTATAATAGCCATTTTTTACTTATTAGATTTACAAAGACCAAAAATCTGATAATAAGTGCGATGAGGGATGGTGTAGGAAACAGGCTCTTTCCTGCATTGCTGATGGGAGTGTAAATTGGTACAACTTTCGATGAGAATAGTTTGACACTGACAGAGTTTTAAAAGTATACCTATTTGACCTGGAAATTCTACTCTTAGTAATTTATCCTATAGGTAAAGTCAACATGTGTGAAATGATCATTGTCTAGGCAATTCACTACAGTACTGTGTATAGTAGTTTGTATACAGTAGTTTTGAAAATAGTGTATATTATGTAGACATACTATTATAATACATACTGTATGGTAGTATATATAGTAGTTTAGAAACAAATGTTTATCAATAGGGGACTTGCCAAATAAAGTATAATATAGCCATACAACAGAATTGTTTGCATCTGTCAAAAAAAATTGAAGACATTCTCTAGGCTATTTTGTTGTGTTGAAAGAAAAAAACACGCATGGGATAGCTCTGAAAGGATATAAAATAATCTAGTAATGGCGATTACTTCCCAAGAGTTCTGGGGATACGGAGACAGAAACGACTTGTTTTAAACTCTAGTCTCTTTGGTACTGTTTGAATGTTATACTAGGTGTATGTATTTCTCATTAAAAATAAGCAAAATATATAAAAAAAATAGAGTCTGTTACAGTTGTCCAGCTGATACCAGTGAGTGAAGAACAGTAATGGTGGAGAGCATGCACAGACTCAGGATAAGTTTTTGGAGGAAAGCTGACATGACAACTTCAAAGGTGGAGTAGATGTGGGCGATGAGGTAAGCCATTAAGAATGACTGCTAGGCTCCTGGCTAGCAGCAGGTGGAGAGATGTGCTATTTACTTTGCTGGGGAGCATTTAGGGAGGAACAAGGATAGCATGCATGAGAGAACTCGATTCTGTTTTGAATGTGTTAGATTTGAGATGCCTATTAGTCATCCATGTGGAGATATCAACTAGGCAGAACAAGAATTTTTATTGCTCAAGAAAGGAATTTGGAATGGAGGTATTTTGGAGGCATCAGCATATAAATCAGCATTGATAAATAGAATTATAATTTAAGCCACATATATAATTAAAAACTTTTTAGTAGCCTCATTAAAATAAAAGCAGGTGAAATTTATTTTAATATATCCTATTTGGCCCAATATATGGAAATATTAACTTTTAAATATGTAATCAGTATAAAAATTAACAAGATATTTTACATTCTTTTTTTTCATACAATGTCTCTTAAACCTCGTGTGTATTTTATACTATGGCACATCTCAATTGGGACAAGCCACGTTTCAAGTGCTCGACAGCCACACATGGTGCTGGCTACCTATTGGACAGTAGAGATAGCAATGATATTTAAAGGAATGAGACTGGATGAGTGGAAGAGAGCCCAGGACTGGGCCTTGGAGCTCTTAAACATTTAGAGTTCAAGTAGAAGAGAGGCTGAGGAATGAGACAGGAAATGACAGAGCCGAGTAAACTAGGAGGAAAATAAGGCAAGTGTAGTGCTAAGAGGGCCAAGAAAGAGAGCTCTGCTCTTTGATGCTGAGAAGTCCATAGGATGGGGACAGAGAAGTGACCACATAATTGAAAGATGGAGTTGTTACTCATCTTGATAAGACACGTTTCACTAGACTGGGGGTGCTTCCTTTGGAGCTGAAGAGAGAGTGGGAGGTGGAACGCAGAGAAGTCATGTACGGACATCTCCAAGGCAACACGTTCCAAACTGATCTATCTCCTCTGACACTCTCCCCCACTCTCTACTCTTCCTGTATTCTGATCTCTACTGGGGGCCAAAGCTAGAAATCTGGGAGACATTCTCAAATCCTTCCTTTCTTTCAGACCTCATAAGCTATTATCTTCATTTCAGCTCCTCAATACTTATTCTGTCTTCTTTGCTTTATATTTCTTCAATATGCCCTTGCCACCTCCAATCTTCGTAATATCTAATAATCTTTTTGGTTATTCAACTTCTGTCCTTGTCGTCCTCAAAATTCTGTTGGCAAAGCCTGGAGACACCTAGAAAGTGGGGGTCAGGTTGTGTTGCCAGACGCATTTTTAAAAACACGAATCTTTCATTCCGGCTGCTCTGCTCAAGATCCTTGCATGAGTCCTCAAGGAACAGGTTTAGTGTTTTCTCTACTCATCAGTTCCTTCACTCTCATTCCCAGATCAATGTAAACACATACACATCCAGTTGTTTCAAACCTGCGTCTTTATGATCCCTCTTCGCCGTCCCCCTAAATAACCTTCTCAAACAGAACCACGACTCGCTCATTCTTACTCATCCTAGTTTAGGTATCAACTTGAGGAACTTCAACGCTCCCCATCCTCTCTGCTGCCACTTTTCTCCAAGGCTGGTTAAACTATTCACCCATTCTCCCTTTTCCAAATGTCTTCCCCAGACATTTCTATAGTATTCAGTGCTTATTTCTATCGCTATTCTCACATTCATCCATTCATCATTTTTTTCTTAAATTATCAGTTCCTGTCGCTCTCTCCAACTAAACTGTGAACTCTGAGGTCAGAGAGCTCATGCAGTGGTGCTCAATCAAGTCTGTGAGTATTATTAACAGAAACCTAAGAGACTGCGGAAAACAACGTTGCGAGGGCGGCGCGTGTTTCTCCGTTCTTAGCGCAGGCCAAACAGCGCCGGAGGAGCTTGGCGTTGAGCCGGATGGGAGGCCCGCACTTCCTCCTGGGGGAGCTGCGCCTGGTGTGCAACGACTACATTTATAAGCAGGTCAGGAAACAAAAGGACAGAGCGGTGAAAGCTGGAAGGCCGCGGGTGGGGACCTAAGGGACCTCAGCACCACGAAGAGTTTGCCAGTGAGTCCACACCAAAAGACGACGCCCCCTCCTGGTCTTCCCCGCAAGCCCTGCCCACCACACGATCACGTGAGCCTGGCCCTGCGTGACCTGCCGCGGCGTCACGTGAGCGATCACGGTCAGGTGACCGCAGTTTTGACGGAGCTCTGGCCTACGAGAATCCTGCGGGGCATCTGAGTTGCCGTCACTCTTGTTATCGGTCTCCCGCCAGCCCGATGGAGGAGGAAGAAGATGAAACGCGGGCCCTTCTGGCAAACCGACGCACGGAGACTAGTAGAGACGACCCCGCTGTCCCCCGGGCGCTGCCGGCCCTCTGCGACCCCAGTCGCCTTGCGCACCGGCTTTTGGTGCTGTTGCTGATGTGCTTCCTTGGCTTTGGTGAGTCGCCTGGCCGGTTGGGGTGGGGCGGATAATCAATGAATGTCCGACATTCTCCTGAATTCCTAAGATGCTTCCCGAGCTCACCGGTGCCTCCAGGCCTCTGCGCAGCTTCTAGCTTCAGCTCCTGGACCTCTCTGCCTTTCCCTTTGTGTCCCCATCCAAGCCTGTGGCGTCCCGAAGGTGGGGGTCAAGGGACTGAGCTGGGTGAATATTGTCCCTATGCCTTTTCTCCAAGAAGTCCCAAAGGCTGGCAGTTTAGTCCCTGGGGGCATAGACATGAAGAAATCTCTGGATCGTTAAGGTTTCTCTTTGGCACTTTGTTCAGAAGGAATTCAGAAAGCTTTAACTACCCGCCCGCCCGCCGCATAAAAGATTCTTCTTTTTTAATCAATAATTTCGTTAGTAGTCTTTATTAGTTTCTCACCCTCTTTTGGAAAATGTATGAATGTGTCTTGCTGATGGCTTTCGTGATTAGGCGTACTCTTCAGCTGTGCCACTGAAGCAATCACACTGGATTGGACTTGTGGTAGTGGTTGGTTTCACTTATGAAATCCGATGACTCTGAAAGCAATTTCTTGAGATAAGTTTTAAAACATCTTCCAGTGTTTCAGCCACTATTTTATTCAGGAACATTCTAATGTTGATATTAGTTTGGCATGAAACTAATAATGTGTTTTTCAGGAGGCTCACAGAAACCGGTGTAATCAGCAAGTTTAGGAATATTATGTGGATAACTATGCTACTGTTGGAATACATATAAGTAGACATGAAGGACGCTTTGGGTTTTAGTTTCCTTGCAAGTCTTTTTGATTCCCTCCCCCCAAACCCTTTGTGGAAAGAGGATGCCCATCCATTACCTTTGAATCATGACATTGGTACCCCTTACAGCCATTAAAGCAGGAACCACAAGTTGCTGGGTTAGGAACAAAAAAAGAATAACAGCAACATAAAACACTTAAAATGGTCCCTATCCAAGCAGGCAGATCATTTTTGATAAATGATGATGCCAGACTTTCAGAAGCCAGATTCATACCTTTCTAATGACAATTTTCTTCTTTTGAATCTGTAGCTTCTAATATGTACTTACAGAAAGGATTAGCAGAGAAATGGAGGCAATATTATCTTGAAGCTTACCACAAATCTTGTCAATTTTATTACTTTAAAAATAAATCTGAGTGAATCAATGTCAGCTTCTTTCTACATGTTCTTACTCGCTGACAGGACATTATTGTTATGTTTTAACTTAATTCTTTAGAACTCTATTTTTCTTCATACTTGGCATTGTGCTTGCTAAATTATTTGATTCAGGCATTCTGTTTGTAGAATTAGAATTCTTGTTTCAAATATTGGTTTAGTCAGAGTAGTTACACTCCATTCTCCGCTCTCAGGATAAGTAGTGACCTCAGATAACATTACCGGGGAACTGCTGGGGATGTTTGTGAAATTGTGCATGTGTACGCATTTTGGTAACTTTAAGGAAATATAGCTGCTTCATGAAGATGCTGATAAAATAATATACATATGAAGTATGACAGTAAAATGGAAGAACAAGTAGTTGTTGATTAAATTCTTAATCCAGGTTCCCAGTATTTGCTGTATATGCACACTAATGATTTGTAAATCATTTGGCATGTGCTCTCTGGGTTATTTGGCTACCATTTAGAAAATAATGATGGACAAGGAAATGGTTCAAAAAAGTTTTCACAGTGTCAGTCCTCAAGCCTCTAGTATAAACATTTAAAATCACGATTTGAGTAGGATTTTCAGCTTGAAACTTTTACATAGTGTTATTACTTAGAAAATACTTGCTTTTCCTTTTTCTAGGCAGCTATTTTTGCTATGATAATCCTGCTGCCCTTCAGACTCAGGTTAAACAGGTAAGTTTATTTTTTACCTTTGTTTCTTTTGTTGGCTTAAGAGCAGGTGTAGCTGTTGAGGCTTCATCAGCTCTCAGGTTGCCTAGTTGAAATAGGTTTTTGTTGTTATTTTGTTTTTTTGAATATGGATACTGATTGAAGAGGATTGTCAGTATTTTTAATCTGTTTCTGTAAAAATATATTTGATATTTACAGTTTCCTGTGCATTTAATCTCCTTGTAAGCTTTTTATTTGGACAGGGAGAAATGCATAGATTGGCCCTCCACATTCTAGAATGGAGAGAAAGAAGGTTGGAGTTAGTGGGAAGAAGGGTAGGGATAGGCTAAGAGTATTCTTTTCCATGTGGTAGGGAGCCCCAATGCAGCTAATATATTGGGGATAAAAATATACAATATATAGACAGATGCAAATGGAAGTGGTCCCCGTAGTGGGGGATCTGATTGATGCTGGACTCCATGAAGCCTCTGAAATGGCATGTGGACTCAAGAAGTTCCCAGGTGTGACCATTTTTCTGGGGCAGGGGCCATAGCTGTCATGAGATTCCCAAAGCCGTTAAGTGACTACAAATGATTAAGAAATTCCTGCTCTACCTAGAATGTTTTGATTGTTAATTGCTAAACTTAACTGTTTGGAAAAATAGTTTTATTTTTTTTCCATGTAGGATATGCAGGTGAATACCACGAAATTCATGCTGCTGTATGCCTGGTATTCTTGGCCCAATGTAGTTTTGTGTTTCCTTGGTGGCTTTTTGATAGACCGAGTATTTGGAATACGGTAAGCTTGAAAAAAATCTCACCTATGGGTAAAATCTGTTCATAAGGAAAACACAGAACTAAATTAAGGTATTTCTAGAAAGAACTGAATAAATAAACTTCTCTGTTTTTCAAAAGATTTCTGTATCTCTGGAATCGGTTTTTGAGACTTGGTTAGTATTTCAGTTCAGGGTGGGACTAGTAAATGCTGTTTGTGGAATAGGTAACTCAGTTACCTAAAGGCAAATTATGCCCTCACTTAGAATCAGGCAAGCCATGGTCTGAATCCCACTGCTGCCACTTGCTCAACTTTCTAGCTCTTCTGAGCTGTTCCTAGCTTCGTGAGCTTCAGTTTCCTCGTTGGTAAAATATGGGTAATAATTTTTCTCCTGCAAGGTGGTTATGAGGATTGAGAGCTGGATGTATGGTATTTGGCACATATGTAGTATTTGCTTCTCCCCAGTGAGAATTTCTCTTCAGGCGTCAAACTTTTTGTGACTACGTCTGTTAGATCCTGAGGAAGGAATAACACTATGAACTTTGTCACTTTTCATCCTTATGATTCTGTGTTTGTTGTTAGTGGAAACTAAGAGGCATGTAGACTGGGAATATTTTCAGAAGGCAGAGGGCAAGGTAATAGTCTCCCAACCACATCTGGTGGAAAAGAGTTGAAGAAACTCTTAAGCGTTTAAACTTGGGGACTAACATTTTAAAAATTTGAAGAGTTAGAGAATAATGGAGGAATTTATTTTGCTTGGTCTAAAGGGATAGAATTAGCTGGAGATTTCAAGAGGACAGGTTCCATTCATATGTTGAAGACTTTGCTCGGTTGTGTTAACAGGAGGTGCTATGAATTGCCTTGGGAGCATAGTGAGTTTTCCAGAGCTAGAGGACATTCAATAGAATGTGGTGTGGCCATTTCACAAGGATTGTGAGAGGCGTTTGAGTTTCAGAAGTCCGGTTTACTCCTGTGGTCTTTGAGGACTCTTCTAATATCAACATTTTATTACTCTGGGGAAAACATGAATCAGATACTAAAAGTTTAGAATGTTAGAGTAAAGCAGACTTACATTAACATGGTTGATATTTGTCCTTTTAAAAATAGATTTTAGTTATCAAGAATCATAACCACTTAATTAATCTGGCACTCCTTGGAATCAATCTTAAAATCTTAATAGAAATTTTATAAAGAATGTCCATTTTTAAATGGGAACCCTGGGTACTTCTTGAAGATTATTTCATGAGTTTTGTTTAAGAGATGACAGTGGTTTAAACTCACATATGCCATTACTAAAGCCTCTGGACTCCTTCTAGAAGTGAAGACTTCTGTAGATTAGCATTCAGCCCAGGAAAGCTGCTGACTTCAGAGACAGACCAGCACTTCATTTTTCTTTCCTTGAAGGGAATGCAGAGAGGTCAAAGAAACCAAAGTGAATTATTACTGAAGGATTTGGTGACATACCCTTAATTCATTCCCTACCTCTTTCTTTCTAACAGATGGGGCACCATTATTTTTAGCTGCTTTGTTTGCATTGGACAGGTAAGAAAGGCCAAAATATTCATTGATTTCGTGATAGTGACTTGAATTCTATTCTGATTCCTGCAAAGATGTGTTTAATGAATGCCCATTTTAATTAAACATAATCTATTTTAAGCCTTGAGACAGGTGAACATTAATATTTTAATTTCACAGATTTACTAAGAATGAATATTAAAACTGCTGTAGAAGTTGTGATTCATCATAAGTTACTTACTTCTCTTGAATACCTTGAATTTACGTTTTCCATTAATTCTACATTGTATTCCACATTATAGGTTGTTTTTGCTCTGGGTGGAATAGTTAACGCTTTTTGGCTGATGGAATTTGGAAGGTTTGTGTTTGGGTAAGTTATGCATAATTTCATTTATCTTAATATATTATTGTTTTAGTGTTCAACTATCAATTTATTAAGGATTTACAAAAAATATATTGTCTCTTCTGGAAAATTCAAGTCCTTGAAATCTAGTCATATATACTTAAGACTATTAGTTGTCTTAATTTTCCTTTAAAGTAAGCAACAATTTTAAGTGGTCATACTTAACTCTGTTTGGGGTTTGGATATTAGTTCTCCAGAAATAATCTTTTTCCTGGGGGTTTTGCTTTTTGTTGTACTGAAGCCTGTTTAAACTTCATTTATAGTATAGACCACCAGTTTCTAGGTTGGTGATTCATGGACATTTTGCTGTTGAAGGGACTCGAATGAGTAGAATACAAATAGACCAGTTGTTCCTCATGAATTTCAGTGTCGTGTTCAATAAGCCTGTTCTGAGTCCAGCCTTGGACTTCCTGACCTGAGGGGATGCAGATGATAGAACTTATTCAATCTTTAACTTAAAAGTATAACTCATTCAATCTTTTCACTGGTACCAGGAACATGCAGACACATGTGACATACTCCAAAAAGTGTTCTAAGTGAGAGAGAAGGAAACAAAATGTACATAAAAATAGAAGGGGATTTAGAGATGGAAGTGTGGTCAGAAGTAGCATTACAAACGAAGTGAGCCTGAACATCAGTATAGAATTTGAGTTAGTAAAAAGGAAGGACTATTTTTGGACTGGGATGGCATGGTGAAGAGAGCTCAGTGTTAGGATATGGAAGAGAAGAAGCTCCTAACTAAAGGCGTGGGTGGGGAATGGTCAATATGTAGAACTTATAGAAGGAAAATTAAAACCCAGGAATAAGAGAATGTCAAATACTGAAGGTACTGGCCTATAAAGTAAATTTTTGTGTCTTAACAAAGTATGGCCCACTGTCTTTATATGATCATTTTTTATAGCATATATGGTGATGTGGTAACCCAGAGTCCTTTGATTGTCTGATTATTATTGCAGCATATCAGATCTCCAAAAACTTAGCAGTCTAAAACATTTCTTTGTGCTCGTGGACTTTGTGGGTCAGGAATTTGGACAGAGTACAGCAAGGATGGCATCTCTGTGTACCTGTTGTCTGGAGCCTTACCTGAAAAGTTTCATGGAAGGCTAGGGGCTGGAATCCTGTGAAAGCTTATTGATGCATATGTCTGGCACCTGGGCTAGGGTCACTGAAGACTAGCTATGCTGGCTAGAGTGTCTTAAGTGTAGCCTCTCTGGCTTGGCTTTCTCATAGCATGGTAAACTCTGGATAGTTGGACTCCTTACAGGTGGCTCAGGGCTCTTAAGTGTGAATGTTTGAGTGAAAAGGCAAATGTCACCTTTTGTGACCCAGCCTTGGGATCACACAGTGTCACTTCCAACGTATTCTATTGGTTGAAGGAGTCATAAGCCCACCTAAATTCAGAGGAAGAGACAGTGACTTCCACCTTTTGATAAGTGGGGTGTCAGAGTTTTAAACCTACTGCATTGCTAACTGTGGTCTTTCTTTATAAGCTTGATTTTTCTTTCTTTTTTTCTTTCTTTCTTCATTTTTAGTATTGGTGGAGAGTCCTTAGCAGTTGCTCAGAATACGTATGCTGTGAGTTGGTTTAAAGGCAAAGAATTAAACCTGGTCTTTGGACTACAACTTAGCATGGCTAGAATTGTAAGTATGGCAAACCTAATCAAGCCAAATAGAAAGCAAAAGATTGAATCTTATAATTATCTCTTAAAAATTATAGGATGAAGTATGTATGATAAACATTAGTTTAAAGAATCTGAGCATTGGAATGGATCTTACAGATTTCATTGTCTAATTTCTTATTCATTTCGGCATCCCAGCTATTGAGGTCTTCACATATGGTAATCCTGGTGCTGCTTGTGCATTCCATGGTCGGAAGCTCACTGTGTGATGGGACAGCTCTTCAATTAACTTTATGAAGCTCAACCTCACATAGAGATGAAATCTGCCTGCATATGTAGCTTTTACTGATTGCTTCTGCTTTGTCCTCTGTAGTTCACCACCTTAACTGTGGACTAGCACTTTGCTTATGAAGACAGCTCTTAAGTTCTTGCTCATTTCCTGTGGTTGTCTAAGCCACATTATGCAGGTTTCAGCTCCCTGAACATGGGCTCACTCCTTTCTAGACTTAACTGCAGGTGGCCATTGTGCCTCCTAGCATTTGAAACCTGCAGATGATCATAGTGTTTCAGGTTGGATCTGACAGAGGGTACTCAGGGGAACAACATTATGCTTTTATTAATGCAGCCTGTAAGGTGTTTTGGCCGTCCCACACTGCATTAGGTTTTTTTCCTTGTAAACGCCAATGAATGTTGTTTTATTTATTTATTTTTTAAAAAACAAAAATTTTACCAGATTAATTTAGACTAATAAATGGCATGAAAAATGCTTATGACATATTCTTAAGAAGAAATCCAGTATAAAAAGTTTTGAATGTAATATTTCATCACGTGAAATATAGAACATGTTTTTGTGAATATAGATTCTAATTTGTCACTATTATAAATAAGGCTGTTGTATGACACTATAAAACTTACCCGCATCTCGTTTCCTTAGGCTAGGTTGCTAAGAATGAAATTATTATTGAGTCATGGAGTTTGTTGGGGATTCTTAGGACTGTTGAGACATATTTTTACATTATTCTCTCAGAGATGTTTACATCCCCATCTGTGGAATATGAGAAGATCCTTTTCATATAGTACAGGCTATTATTACTTTTAAAAAAGTCTTTGTATCAGTTTGATGGGGAACACCTAATTATTATTTTACTTTGTAATTCTTTGATAACTAGTTTGGTTTCCAGTGTTTTCTAAATTTTATCTATAAGAATATTCTGAGTACTTTGTTATATATCTTGTGCAAGTTAAGATATGTCTGTGGCAGTTTGTGGATCTCATTGTCTGATAACTTCTCAAAGAATAATATAGGATCAGTGGAGTAAGACTCATTCTCAGTGATGCCATTGGGGTTCCTAGTGATTCTCAGGTTCTTTTCTGAGTGGTTACATATCAGTTAGAATCCATTCAGCTGTGTTCTGAGGAGCCCTCAGTTTTTAGGGCTTGGGGGCTTTGAGGATGCAGGATGGGGGTTCTTGGAGTGTTGGGAAGATCTGAGGAGCAGGTGGAGTGAGCCAGATCTCAGGCAGCCACCTCATTTCTTAGTCTTCAGGGTGTGACCTATCGATAGCAGAGTTTTAGTCAATAGCACATTTAGCACAGTTGACGTTCCCCATTCCTTGATTTCTTCTCTTGGGTTCCAGGACATGACAGTGTCACAGTCTTCCTTTTGCCCTCTTTCTGCTTTTTCTCTACCTCTTTTGCTGATTGCATCTCAGTCTTCTCAAGCTGTAAATGTGGGAGTGCCCCAGAGCTTGGTCATTAGGCATTTTCTTTTTTCTTTTGATGCTCATTTCCTTGGTGATCTTACCTCGTTTTGAAATTTTAAATAACATGTGTTTGCTCCTGATTTTATATCACTTGTCCAGGGCTTTCCATGAATTCTACACCTATATATACAACTCTCTACTTGACATTTTCACTTGGGTGTCTAGTAGGCACATGAAACCTGACATGGCCAAACCCAGCTCTGCTATTCTACCTGCATCCTCCAAATCGGCTGATGCTGTCGTTTTCTCATCCTTAGTTATTTTCTTCCAGTTGCTCAGGCAAAAACTTTGGTGTCACACTTAACTCTTCTTTTTTTTTTTTTTCCTGCTCCACACTACACATATTTTTCTTTTGCAAATCCTGTTAGCATAAAAATATACCCATATTCCAGCCACTTCTCACTTGCCCATTCTAGCTACCCTAGTCCAAGACCTATCATCTCTGTTCTGGATTATTGCAGTAGTACCTTAACAATGTCCTTGCTTCTGCCTCTGTCCCCATTTGTAGTCTGCTTTGGATATGGCAGCCAGAGCGGGTCTGTTAAAGCATACATGAATCATGCCCTTTTCTGTCAAAACCCTAACAGCTTTCCTTCTCACACAGAGTAAAAGCCAAAATCCTTATTATGCTGTATAGCCCTGCTTCCTAATATTTCCTCTCTGGGGACCGCGTCTCATCTTCTCTCTTCATTTACGCTGTTTCAGCCTCTGCCCACCTTGCCATTCCCTGAGCACGCCAGGCAGCCTATCTCTCTGGGCCTGCACACTAGTTGTTCCTCCTGCCTGCATGCTCTTCCCCCAGATGTCCTCACAGCTAGCTTCTGTCAACTTTTTACTTTATATTCTCCACCCCTTTATATTTTCCTTCTCTGCTTATTTTTTTCTTATTTTTAAAACTTTTAAATGCTGTTATACCACATGTTTTACCTCTTCTATTCCACTAAAAGCTCTATGACAGCTGGAAATTTTTCTGTTCTTTATTATATTTCCAATACTTAGAATAGTGACTGATATGTACTCAGGGCTAAATAATTGCTAAACGAATGAATAAATGAACAAGGATATTTCTACTATAACTTTTATAGTCTTCTTTTAGACAGTTGGAGGATGAATGTTTTTCAGATGTCAACACCAGGAAGAGTTGTGCTCGTTCTGAGCTAAGGTTTATTTTGTCATAGGTGCCTTGTGAATTTTGTACTTCGTGTTTCATTGTTGCTTCGGTTACTAAAAAGTTTTAAATGCACTGTGCTATGTTGAATACTAGCATTTTATATAAATTGGCATTTTTTATTTGGTAATCTTGTCTGTGGCTTTATTTTTGTTAGTTTTTTCCTTCTAGTGTTTGTAAAAAATTATCTCTTTTTTAATCTGGATCCTTTATACTTGTTCTGTAAGCCACCTTACATCCTATTTTTCGAACAAGGCAGAGATATAAATAAAAATTATGTTGATTTATTTTTTCCTCTTTCAGGGAAGTACAGTAAACATGAACCTCATGGGATGGCTGTATTCTAAGGTTGAAGCTTCGTTGGGTTCTGCTGGTCACACAACCCTTGGAATCACACTTATGATTGGTTGGTAAATCCTGATATCCTACATTTTGTATCTTCTGAAAGTATGTCACAGGAAGCATCATGGCAGAGAGGAAGGAATATTGGAATTGGAGTTAGACCACGTTGGTTATAATTTTGCCTGCTCAATTCACTAGTTCTTTGACCTAATTAGAAATAGTGACTCATTCACCCCCGTTGTATTTTTATTTCCACTTTCTTAAAATGGAGGATTTTGTCCCACTCTTGTCTACTTCAGTATTGTCCTGATGATCAAATGAGAGAGTGTATCTGAGGATAATCAGGAATTTATATATGTAAGATGGTAATTATTTATTGATAGTCGAAGGGAGGATTGTTTTCTTTTGCTCAAATTCAGTTAGTATGCCTCTAGACCTTAGATTTTATAGACGTCAGAGATAATGTGATATGGTAGGAAATCTGCTAAGTAGGAGTCAGGAGCCTGGGTTCTAGTCCTGGCTCTAACAGTTCTGTCATCTTGGACAAGGTAGTTAACTCTGTGTCTCAGTTTTCTGTAAAATTGTGGGTGTTTTACCAAAACTCTGTAGGTCCTTTCTGGCCCTAAGTTCTCTTAGCTGAGGCTCCATTGTGCTGGTTGCTGGGTGGGTCACTGAGAATCATATGAGGCCCTCTGGATTCACCACCCATGCTTTTTCTCTGTGCAGTGAATTTGTCTAACTGAGCCCCATGGTGTGTAGAGGCTTCTTGCAGAGCCTGTGAGATGGGGTGAATGTTCTGTGCCTTCTTTCATTCCTTATATTTCCTTGGTACAGCCTGGTAAAAGCAGGACAGTGGAGTAGTAATCCTGAACAGGTGACTTGTACCTGGAGACTTCTTTCTTCTCCTTCCCTCTCAAATTCTTTGCCTTACTGAAAACCTCTTTCTTCCTCTCAAGTGCTCTTCAGTATTCCTTCTAGTTTCCTCCACAATGGAGAGTTTGAGAATTTTAAAGAATTTTAGAGCCAGAAAAGATGTGGGCCATCATAAGTCAAAACCTCTTATTTTACGGATGGGGAAATTGAAGCCCAGAGAAATTAAGTTCTGTGTCCAAGATCATTCAGCTTATTAGTGGCCAAAGTAAAACTTGTATGTACTAACTTTCAGTAATTTTTCAACTGAACCGTATTACGTCAGCTAATTAAAGATTCATTTATTTTACTAAGCTTCTTTTTAAAAATCTTCATGAGTATAAACTTTATTTCACTATTTGTCCAATTTACTTTAATAATATGAGGTCAGCCATTCATGAGTAATGTGAATACTCAGCACAAAGAGAGCCTGAGTGAGCTGTGCTGTGGGAGGGCGGGGCCTGGGGCTGGCAGAGAGTGACAGCAAGGATTACAGACTTTGGGAAGGAATCAGAAGGAAGATGAAGTAATCACAGAATCAGACATTGCTTTTATAATTTTTTCCCCCCATCACCTTTTAATAATTGGTGCTTAGACTGAATTAAGAAATGACTAATTTGCTAGCTGGTCATCATCTTTCATCAGTCTGTATTTTGCATTACAATACTGGACTAATTTGTTCTAATTTTTCCCTCTAATCTTCAGCCTTCTTCTGGGAAATAATATAGTAACAGTGACTACTGTTTGTCGAGTGCTTATTACCATTTACTTTTCCTTTCTTTCTGTCCTGATTCAGTAATTGTAGGCTTTTCTTACATGTGTAAATACAGTCGCTTTTGGTCGCTAAGTTTTTGGCTGTTAAAGTGGTGTGCCACCTTTTAAGGAACTTTCAGTCTTTTAAAAATCTTTTTTTTTTTAAATTATAGGAGGTATAACGTGTATTCTTTCACTAATTTGTGCCTTGGCCCTTGCTTACTTGGATCAGAGAGCAGAAAGAATTCTTCATAAAGAACAAGGAAAAACAGGTAAGTCTAAATGAAGAAAAGTGAGACTTTGGGGAATTATAGCCTTTTTGTGATAATTTACAATGATGCAAGTTCCTAATGCAATATTGTAAACCCACGAGACTTAATACATATTTTTTAATCTTTTATTGCCAAATGTCTTAATTTTGAGGTACATTTTCCCCCTTTTATGTTTTTGGCATAATTTGCATTCTTGATTGTACTTTGTATATTTGCAAAATGATGAGTGTTCCTGGAAGAAAGTTGAAAGATAGATGCTAATCTTAGACTCTGCTTTTTCTAATGTCTTTTTAAGTTATCCCAGAAAGTATGTTCCAGTAATTTACTGAGAAAAATATTCTTTTAACTGAATGGCAAAGGTTATTCATGTGATAACAGAAAGATCTTCTTGACTTCAGTATGCAAGATTATGCTGATAGCTTCTTCCCTTTTTTCTCAAGGTGAAGTTATTAAGTTGACTGACGTGAAGGACTTCTCTTTACCTCTGTGGCTCATATTTTTCATCTGTGTCTTCTATTATGTTGCGGTGTTCCCTTTTATTGGACTTGGGAAGTGAGTATTCTCTAGCATTCCATTCTTGTTGACTAAATTATAATGGCAATTCAATCACATAAGTATAATTTTTTTAGCTGTAAATCTTGCTTCTCTGGTTATAGTTTATATTTACACAGGAATTGTTTTGTATCCTGGGACCCAACTTATTTTCTTAGCTTAAGGTTTAGTATTGGTTTAATACTTTATTTTTTTGAAGAACTACCCAATAATAGTTTTTGATTCAAAATAATTGACTTATTTTAATGCTTGATTTTAGATTAGTAATATTTTTTTTTCCTCTTTATTCTTTGGTTAGAAAGCCTCTTATTCAGAAGGCAAACAGTATATTGGCTTATAGTGACTGGGCACATTTTTATTTGCTAGGACTGCAATTCTGCCAGACTCAGATTCAGGGTTCAAATCAAATTCTTTGCTTTATTTTCTACTGCTGTCTTTTTCTTTCATTGGCAGCTGCTTAAACAGAGCAGTGTATGAGTGAGAGTGCATTTGTAGGGTGTGTCTTTGTAATTATAACCTTTAAATTCAGGCTTTTATTTTAAATAATTTGAGACAAATTATTATGCATCATAATGCTATGCATTATATAGCAAAGAACCTGTCCACTATTGCTTTTAAGGAAAAGAAGCAGTCTTAATTCCCTGTGGTAATACATTTGGTTTTCTGAAAATTCACGTGTACTGTTTGCTGTATATGTAAAAAAGGAAAAAGGCATCAGTATATTTTATTTAGTTAGTAAAATGTTTATATAAACACTAAAGCTTTAGCCAGTTACTTGAAGATGAATATCAAATAAGGTGGGAAAACAGTATCAAGAAGAAAAAGTTGACTAAACTTAGAATTATTCGTATTTATTTTCGCCTTTATTTTTTAAAAACAATGGTTTTCTCTAAAGTGCTCATTTCTCTTTTTCCCTCTTTATTTTAGGGTTTTCTTTACAGAGAAATTTGGATTTTCTTCCCAGGCAGCAAGTGCTATTAACAGGTATTTTACCACTTTTGTAAGTGCTTATTGTGCGCCTAGTGCGGGTCTTAGAACCAGACGTTAAAAAACACGTGTGATGTAACACTGACAGTGTGAAACCAAGACTGTCCTGGGACTCGATCCTGAGTGGCCGTCTTTGCATTAGTGGAAAATAAAAGGAGTCTTGGACCACTCTTTATATCTTTATATTTCTGTTTACGGATGACCATTTTAGAAAATCATCAAACTAAATGAGCTAAGGTTTGCTTGCCTGATGGCTTTGAGAACTTCTTGAATTTTTTTTTTTGGTAGCTGTGATAGATTTCATTAAATATCTTTTATATTCTCTGGGCAGTGTTGTATACGTCATATCAGCTCCCATGTCCCCAATATTTGGGCTCTTGGTGGATAAAACAGGGAAGAACATCATCTGGGTGCTGTGTGCAGTGGTGACCACGCTTGCTTCGCACATGCTACTGGCCTTTACACTGTGGAACCCTTGGATTGCTATGGTAATGTTGCTGTTAACACCTGGGGGGCACAGGGGACAGGGAGGAGGACTCTGCAAAGTGCATGTCAGGGGCCATGCTCAGCACCTCAGAAAGCAGTGCTCGTGACAGTGGGGAAAACAATGACTTGATATCAATTTCTATGAAGTAACTTTTTAAAGTATATAAATATTAATTGTTAATGCATAGGGTATTTTTAATTTGATTTGACTTATTTAATAGAGTAACCTCGATGCTAACATAAAATGTGAAATAAAATAGTCTTACAAAAGCCAGAATGCTTATTAGTTCCATTTGTTTTTCTGTACTTCATTAAAAGAACTCATTCCATCATAGGTGGCAAAAACTATCAGCCTAATAACTGTTACATCACATTTTTTTATCATTGACTTTTAGTAAGTCAAAAAATGATAACAAATTCATAAGCTTTTATTATAGTTCTTCAGAATGTCATTTTTAAGAACACAGGCTGAAGTGCTGCATTTCTTACCTTTTAACAAAAGAATATCTTGAACATATATATTTGTGTATTTGGTGAGAATTCTATGGGACAAATTCCTAGAAGTAGAAATGCTACAATAGAGGCTTTGCACATTTAACATGTTGATAGGTATTGTGACTTCTCTTCCAATAACTACCCAGTTACAGTTTTATCAGTAATAGAAGAATATGTTTGTTTCTTAGTATCCATGCCATTGTTGGACATTGGCATTATTTTAATCTTTGCCTATCTGATAGTAGATATAAGTGATCTTATTTTAATTTAAATCATGAGGTTCCTTTTTTAATTGAAGAAAAAGTCAGCATTAGGTGATGTTTAAAAAGCAATAGTGGTGGTTAATTATCTGCCCTGCTCTCTAAACGGGTACTGATGACCCAGAGATAAGATAATGGACTGTTGGCATGATGTTGCCTTGGTTGCTTAATTATAATTTCTAATAAGTTTTGGAAAATTAGCTTCCTTAAAATATTGGTAATAACTTTTTGCAAATTAGCTTTGTTTTCTTCCTTGGTTCTTGATTGCACCCTGGGGCCAGCCAGTTAAAGATGCATATAATATAAAATGGTTAAGACAGTATGCATATATTTTGTCGCAAGAGAGATACTGTTTGAGAGGGTCAGAACTTTTTTGTATTGACTGAGTGTTAGCCTGATCACAGTAAAATTTGCACGGATATTCATATCACTCTTGCTAATCTGCATTAAAGGAAAGTCACCTTTTGGTTAATATAAGCCTTTTACCCTTTTCTGTATTGCTTCCTATAGTGTCTCCTGGGAATCTCCTATTCATTGCTTGCCTGTGCGTTGTGGCCAATGGTTGCATTTGTAGTTCCGGAACATCAACTAGGAACTGCATATGGCTTGTAAGTATTTGCATTGTAGATCGTATAATGCCTCTCTCTGCTGTATCAATTTCATTATTATATGAAATTCCAGGTCTCCTGAATCTAGTCATCTTTAGGCTTCTGGGATAGCTCTTAACCTAGAAATCACTAGAAAAGTCAGTTAACCTATTTATGACATTATTGTGGCAACAGAAATGCTCCAAGCCTCCAGCAAGAGAGCTGGAGTAAAGTTAACCCATAAGAAGTAATTGTGACATTATCATCCCACTGCCCGTTTATCTAATGGCTTCTCAGTGAAAAGTTGAGTATTGGTTTCTGGCCGAAAGGAGATTGGTATTCACTTACCTTTTCTTTA